TCGAGTAGACTAAGATGTCGTCTAGGTACACTACCACGAAAATGTCCAAGTATCCTTCCAGTGCGTTGAATATAAATCGCTGGAATGATGCTGGCGCATTGGTTAGCCCAAAAGGCATCACCACATATTCGAAGTGTCCCATATTTGTCCGGAATGCTGTTTTCCATTCGTCTCCTTCCTTTATTCTCAATCGGTTATAGGCGTTGGTGATATCATACTTCGTGAAGTACTTTGCTCCTGTAAGCCGGTCCTGGATTTCTTGAATCAAAGGCAATGGGTGTCGATCTTTGATGGTAATCGAATTTAAGTGTCGATAGTCCACACAAAGTCGAAGTTCTCCTCCCTTCTTGGGTGCGAACAAGACAGGGTATCCTGCTGATGAGGATGACTTTCTGATGTAACCTTTCCGTAGGTTTTCTTCGATGTACTCCCGGAGCACTTTTCGTTCTTTCTCGGATAGTTGGTAGATAGGCATGAATGTCGGTTCCTTGCCTTCGTTGATCCGGATCTCGTGGTCGAAGGGTCCATACTCTGGTAGTTGGCCCTCTGGTGGTGGTGTAAACACATCCTCGAAGTCTCGGTATTCTTCGGGTATTTCCGGTGTTCCTTCCTCTGTCGCGCAGAGGGTCTGCTCTCCGTGAGCTATCACGACATATTCTGTGAGTTCTTCATCCGTCATATCGGGTCGCTGTTCTGTGGTTGCGATGACGCTCACGTCGGTGATTTGGTGGGCCTTGCCTCGTGGCCGAGTGGCTACATCAGGTTTCCCTACCTGAGTGCCCTCATAGGTACCTGCTCCCTTTCCAGGCCCTTTCTGGTTTTCTTTGTTTTTCGTGGTTCCTCGTGTGCAGTTGCAATTATCGAATTGAATGGCTCCAGTATCCCATTGGATTACCGGGTTATGGTGTCGTAACCATGGCATCCCGAGGACGATGTCGAACGTGCCTAGCTCGGTGATGTCGAATTCGATGTTTTCCTTGTGTTCGCCCATAATCATTTCTACCGGCTCGGTCTCTAGGATCAGTCCTTTGTTGAGTCGCTGTCCGTTGAGTCCGACAATGGGTTGTGGTTTTTCCTTCTCCTTTACCCATAGCCGTAGTCTCTGGTTGCATTGTGGGTCCATGAAGTTCCCACATGCTCCTGAATCGACAAGGACTTTAACCTGTCGCCCAGTGATCATGGCGGTGACCTTGAGGTGTGCGCCCCATTTGGTCGCTGCGATTTGTTGTGTCCTGATTTGCTTGCTTCCATACCAGATTCCTCGATACTCTTTTTTCCACCTGGGCATGTTCAACCAGTTTGGTTTTTGTGGCTGAATCCCGTAGTTTAGTTTCCCTTGGTAGTGGATCTCGCAGTCATGGTCGTAGCATCCAACTACAGCCATTGCAGAGTGTCGTGGGTGTCGGGCATATCCATTGCACGAGCAGTTTAGGTCGCTGCATGGACATGTTGCCCTAAATTTTCCGTCGAAGTCCCCCTGGAACCCCTTCTTCCAATTTGGTGTTTCTTTTTCTCTGGTACTTGGTCGGTAGCCTTTCTGAGCCTTTAGCTGCGTATGTTGTTCGCAGGTGTCGTCAGTACAGTGCTTTGCCGATTGCATCCTGTGGTGTGGGTGTCGTTCGTATCCCATGCACCCACAGTCGATCCTAAGACAAGGGCATGTCCCTCTGTCTTCCTCGCTGTTCGTCGCGGTGTTGTTGGGAGTTTTCTGAGGCAATTCCAGGAACTCTGGTGGGGTCTCCGGGACCGTTTCCACTTCTAGGTTCCCGCTATCCGCGTTTGGGAGTACCTCCATCAGTTCCTGGGAGTCGATGGGTTGATTCCAGGAACCATACTGGGTCCATCCTTGACTCTCGATCTTGTTTCCTAGGATGTCGTTATCCTCTTCCTGGTCGTTCCATTCGATCTCAGGGAATTCGGTTTCGGTGACTGCGTCGCTGTGACTGTCCCAGTCCCGTTCGTTCATCCGGTTGTTCCATCCCTTATGGTCACCAGGTACTTGGTTTTCTTTGTTCCACTCCTCATCGTCAAGAGGTTGTCTAGTGGCTCGGAGCTGTTGCTCCCGGTTGTCGATAGATCTTGTTGCTCTGATCTGTTGTTGTCTTGGTGGTCCGCTGCTACGGCACTCACGTGAGTAATGCCCTGGTTTCCCGCATTTGAAACACAGTTGCTTCTCCTTTCGTCGTTTCTGTTCTTCGTCGGGGAGTCTGACTGCGTCTAGCTCCATTGGTCGAGGTCCGTACGGGTCATCCCGTCGGTCGTCTCGCCGTCGGCCTTGGTTGGCGCCTGTCCTAGGTCCAAACCGTTGCCCTTGGTGGTTTGGTCGACGGTCTCGTCGCCAGTGTTCCACCTCTTTCTTCTCTTGTTGTCGTTCCCATTCGCGGTTGTCAATACGGATCACTACGTCGATGATTTCGCTCATGGTCTCTGGTCGGTCCATTCTTGCTAGTTCATCCTTTAGGTGTGACTTAAGTCCGTACACGAATCTTGGGATCAATGCATAGTCGTCCCATCCCAACGTCGCGGTAATCTGTGTGAATTCAGAGACGTATCGGGATGCGGATCCGGTTTGTCGGATTTCTTGCAGTTTCCGTTCTGCGGTTCGTTTGGCGTCGATGTCGCCGAAGGTGCGTTCCAGGTGCTTGCACAGGTTTGCGTAGCTGGTGAAGATCGTGGTGGTGGTCTCAGACCAATCTTCCCGATCCTTCCCATAGTATTCGCGCACGTAGGGTTCGAGCCAATCCCATGCTTGTCCTCTCAGGTAGGTTGAGACGAAGATGACTTTGCTTTCTTCGTTCGGAAGCTGAGCCTGATTGACGTCAAGGTGCATGTCCATCTGGGTGAGGAAGCCCCGAAGCTTCGCTCTGTTGCCATCGAAGTTATCCGCCTTGGGTAACTTTGGCGTCGCGTGCGATGTTGGTCGTTGCCCGGTGTTCTGGGTAAGTCGTTCGGCGATCCCTTGGAACTGCTCCTGGGCCGTGTCGCCGAGGGCTCCCAGAGCTTTCTCGAGTGCTTTCATGTTGTCGGCTTGTTCCCGGATCTGAGCTTTCAATCGCTGGATTTCGTTGTCACGCTCATCATCGGAGTCGATGTCCATCTTGGACTGAGTTGCGGGTGGCACAGGTGCTGCCTTACCCTTCGAGGTACTGCCTTGCGAAGACATGATACTGAGATCACGGTCGTAGTAGACAGGGCGATTATTGTGTTACGAACCGGCTGTCAAGCAACGTGAGTATGCACTTCCAAAGTGTTACTTACCGCAAGCCGTTATCCTGCAACTGTACCGTCGCCGTCGCTGGGCCTTACACGGGCTCGAGTCTATAGGGATCCTTGCACGGTAATGCTTGATCAGGGTGTCCGCTAGCAAGTCAGTCACGAGTGATGGAATCACGAGTGAGCTCCCAAGCTAGTTTGAGGTTGGTCTTCAAAGGTTCGACTGTGATCAAAGTATCTGAATTGCTGTACTGTAGGTCTCAATAACAATAGAGTAATAATCGCGAAGAACTAAATACATGATGGGTAACGAGTGTCCTTATATATCTAGTCCTTCCTATCCGTCGATGGGACCGGATCCCATCCGTCAGTGTGATCCGATCTCATCCCATCGTGGGATGGGATCTTGTCCTATCCATGCATGGGATCTATTGTTGGAATAGTCCCGTTGGTCACGTGTCATGGGGCCGGAAGTGGCCTCTCGTGCACCGTCCTTCCCGTATAGCCAGTATTCTTTCAGGCGGTTGATAGCATGCCGAATATGGCTCCTGTTGATGCCTGAGGCCCCAAATGGACATGCGTCCATTTGGGCCACGCGTCCATTATGGCCGGTCGTCCAGTCTGGGTCCGACCGCCAACTGATTGGTCCGTAATTGCTCCTGGGAGATCCCTCCGTAGTGGGTCCGTAACACCTAGGAAGCTTTGTATATCTTATATGGTCTTTAGGGTTTCCTATGATCTGATAGCTTTAACCTTCTTTAGGTCTATATATATATCCCTTCCATAGCTTTTATAATAAAACCTAAGTACTTTACTAAATGCTGTTTGAATTCCGATTTCCTAATATCATATTATAGGCCTGCTGTATGTAGCTCGCTAAGTACTTGCTTGACCTTTCGTTGATAGTTGTCTAAGGTTCTGTTTAAATGGATGATAATATTATCTATATATATAGATATAATTCATCTAGAAACTTCTGTAATACTTAGTTAATATAATGTTAAAATATTATAGATATACTAAGTAAACCAAACAGGGTTATTTTCTATTTATATATGTCAGCAATTCAGGCTGATTCTCTGCCTGAATTCCTGGGACCAAAAGTGGCTCTTTTGGTCTAAAGATTGTGCTGACTAATTCATCCCGCGATCAAACATTTTGTTGCGGAATGAATGGCTATTGTTTTGATCTGATCCATCAGATCAAAGATCATCTTCTCTCGTCCGAGAAGATTCGCAACCCGAACCCCGTTGTTGAGACCAATGGTTACAAGATGAGATGAAAGACTTGATCATTTCGGATTCCGTGGCTCTTTCATCCCATGTTCTGAGACCTTTGGTCTTATGTTTATCTGTTTAGTCTAATGTTCTATAAAACCTGATCTTACCCCTTAGTTAGTGGAGCATCGAATTCAATCTTTTTGGGATCAGTAGTATCTTTGTTTGATTCTTTCCTTCCATTCCATCCTAAGTTTGGATCCAGCTTGGTCGTATGTCATTCCATCTGATCCGTGTTGTCTGATCTTTTGGTCTTATCTTTACCCTTTCCTCCCAAGTCCCCTGTAACTTGGTATCCCCTGTTCAGCTGACATCCTCTGCGTGACGTCATCACCTCTGGTCTGTCCCCGACACGCTGAAAGTTATGAGCCCGGCAACGCTACCGAGTTACAATCGAGACGGAACGTTCTTTCGTCTGATATCCCCTGTTTGATCTGAAAGATCACCTTGTTTATCCTGTTTTACACTATCTTGTTATCCCTTATTTGTTGTTCTTTTATCTTGTTAAAAATGTCTTCCAAACCTGCGACCGTACAGCTTCGAGTTCAGACCATTCTCACTACATCAGACCAATGGATCACGTGGTTATCAAACATTCAGGCAATCGCCAATTTGTCTGATGTCTGGAAATATATTGATCCGGAAGTTGTTTGTCCCCCTCAATTAGGACCAAAGCCACAACTTCTTTCTGTCCGTGATGTCTACCCGAACTACGACAAACCTTCAGACCAACGACTTGGGACGAAAAGCGCCAGTGATCAGACGAAACCCTTTCTGTCTGAAGATGCATACCTTGCGGCGAATCCCGAACAAGCTAGAACCTTCTTTGGTCTGGAAGGTCGAAGCAAACGTACTATCGATGATTGGAAAGAGACCAAACTTGCCCTCGACAATATTTTCATCACAATTCTGAACACCGTTTCGTCTGATATTCGGAAGCTTTTTGGATCAGAGTCAAACAGTCATGTGATTATGAGATCACTTTATGAGCGCTTTAATCCTGACTCTATCCTCCGAAGTCAGCGGATGGCTGATAAATGGATTAGCCTTCGTACCATCCCAAAATCGAACATCATGAAATGGCTGGACCAATGGGAATCGACCTATGTTGAGGCGAAAACCCTACAAATTGTTGAGATGGGAACTGAAAAGAAAGTTTGCCTCGATTTTCTCCGAACTATTGCTGTTTTATCTGATTCTTTTGCTATATATTGGAAGTTTTCTCTGATGAATCTCCCTGATTCATCCGAACAAGTCTCTTTTCTCCGATTATTGAGGATCTACCGAGATCACATCTCATCTTCGACCATTCGTCTGAACAAGCTTTTATCTAATGCTACGTTCAAAGGTGAAGATGATTTATCCCAAGCATCGGACGAAAAAGGAGAAGAAAAAAGGGACCAAACAGAAGTTTTCTGGTTCCTGCCCATGTGGAGAAGGCAAACATTCATTTGTTAATTGTCCCGTCCTAAACCCTGCCAAGAGACCAGATGGATGGAAACTATCAGATGAAACTAAGACTAAGTTTGACACAGCGATGGAGAAGAGCTCAACCCTAAGAGCTGCGATGAAAAGAGCCAAAGAACGAATTTCTTCGGACCAAAAGTCAGCTGACCCTGTTGGATCAGCTGAAACATCAGACGAAAAGGGACATATGGTTGGGATGACTCTTTCATCTAAAAAGTCACCACTTGATGAGATGAAAACCCTTGCAGCGAGTCTGCCAATTTCGAACGCCACGAGTCATGTGATCAGACCAAATGAGGTCTGGGCGTACGATACTGGATCAACATTGCATATCTGCAATAATATTGATCTTTTCTCCGATATTCAGCCTTATGCAGCTGATGTTTGCGTTAGAGATACGACGACACCGATAGTTGGGATCGGAACTGTTTTGGTCCGACCTACTGAATCTTTGGATGGAAAGCCACTAACCCTTCTGAAAGTGGGTTATTCCCCTGGTTTTCATCTGAACCTGATATCTGCATCGATTGCAGAACGTTCGAAATTGTTCCTGAATGGACGAAAGCGAACCCTTGAGACATCAGATGGAACGCAAGTTTGCCGTTTGAACCGAAGATCCGGTGTCTACCTGATAAAATGGGATGGAACAGCTGATGGTCTACCATCTGATCTTTCTGCCAGCACACGAGTTGCTGCCAAACAGCTAACATACCCTATCTCCTCTGAAAAGTCCTTTTATCCGATGGAAGGCAAGATAGACCCCATTGGTCTTAAAACTTTACCTCAAAGATCGGAGGGTGCAACGAACCATGCCCTTTCATCTTATTCTCGACCTGAAAAACCTGCGTCACGAGATGTTTGGCACCAAAGACTTGGCCACATCGGACGAGAGACCCTCGACAAGCTTATCGGATCAACCACTGGAGTACGGATCGATCAGAACTCGACATCAGACGAAACATGTGAGACATGTAAATTATCTGATTCTTACCGACAATTGTCATGTGTTCCGATTGAACGCCATGGCTATCCATTCGAAGCTATACACTGGGACTTAGTGTTTGTCAAACAAGGAATTGATGGGATGAAATATTTGTCACACTGTGTTTGCCCTGTAACTTGGTATCCCCTGTTCAGCTGACATCCTCTGCGTGACGTCATCACCTCTGGTCTGTCCCCGACACGCTGAAATATTCTTTAAAGATTTTCCTATCTATCTACTCCCTACTACCTAGAATTAGTGGTTCAAAGTAGATACCCCCTAGCTTAAAATCTTTAATCCCTATTATTTTATAAAGAAATATCAGAATAAAGCCTATATCTATACTATAATCTAGATATCTAAGAATACCCTTTTACCAACCCCCCCTAAATCCTACCAAGACCTAATTAAGGGTAAAAGAGTTACCCCTAGAATTCTAAGAATTCTAAGATATTTTTGATTCCTCTGCTATAATGTGAGAGAAAGTGCCAGATTAGGGTGGCATCTGGTGGTTAGGTGAATCAGGAAGATATCGGTGATAAGTCAGGTAGTATTTAGTACTTTCCAATATAATAAGAACTAATACTTAAAGAACTTGGAACCCCGGCTCACTGGGGTCCGATTAAGTACTAGATACCCCGTAGTTCGTTGCCTAAGGTGCTCCTGTGATTATAGGATCAACCTGATAAGTACTGTGACAAATCATCCCCCCTTCTATAGCTGATCGCCCTCGATCAGGGACCGAACCAATCTATAGGGTTATCAAGGAAGGGATTCGGAGTAAGAAGAATAAATAGTCTTAGGAGAATAAAAGAAAAATAAGGATTAAGTAAATAAAGTAAAAAGAAAGAATCTTACTAGGGGAGGGCCCTTAATATAGGGTTTATCTACTAGTTGGGGCTATCTTATAACTAAAAGATTACTCTTTGTGATAGATATAGCTGAAAATCTTGTAGGAATATCCTTTAAGGGAATTTTATAGGTGTCTAGAGGGATCTTCTTATTAGGTCCTAAATAATTCTGGCTTAAAGATTATTTAAAACTTTAAAGACTTTTATCTATAAAAGGATATTAAAGGAAAGATATTTTAGAGATATCTTCTCTCTAAAACCCTAATAGATATTAATATAGTATAAAGAACTTATATTTAAATAATTAAATTAGATAATTAAAATATTTATCAGAGGATTAAGATAAGGGGTTTTAGATTTAAATTCTACCCTCTTTATCTTTATTAATCTAGAATATTAGTCTATTAAGTTTATTAAATTTTATTGATTTTATTTAACTTTATTATAGTAGCACTAGCTCCTAAGGACCTTATAGTAAACCCTAAAGTAGTAAATATTCTAGTAGGACTTAGTTATATACTATCTAAAGGGAATAGAGGGACTAATCCTTTTACCTATACTATCTAGGTAAAGTTTAGCTACTATACTTCCTGTTTTAATATTATAGTAGTTAAATTTTAGGAGAAAATTGATAAGGCTAAGGAAGAAGATAAAGAAGTAACTAAGGGGCTAAGGATTCCTTATTTTTAGAATTATATAAATTTAGATTAATATAGTAGGTATAGGGACCTAAAGCAGAACTATCCTTATATCTCTATAAGAAGATTCTTCCCTATAAGATATTATTCTTACTAATTTAATAATAGATTCTGTAAGATATCTTTCGAGATTGGCTAGTCTTTTAGGATATTATCTAGTAGATAGAGTAATATAAAACAGATAAACCAATAACTACTTAGTTAATAGCTAGGGATAAAGGGATTATATCTATTACTTTTAGTCCTTTAAATAGATATAATTAGAGTATAGAAGCTTATTCTATAGGGATCTAAAAATTTTTATAGTTGGCTAAGATATTTTAGTGGATTATTTAGAATTATATCTCTAATTATAGATTTAAATCATTAGATACTAATAAAAGGGATATTAAATTAGCTATAAAAAGATATTAGGAGTATAATAAGAGGCTTATTATTAACTATCTTTGATTATTATAGACTAAAGTATTATATACTATAGTACCTAGGGCTATTATTACTAGGGTTATTACTTCTGTATCTAACTTTTAGGCTATAGCTCTTAGGATAGATCCTATTAATCTATTCTATACTTTTTGGTATACTATGATTTAGTCTTACTTTATAGGGATTATAATAGGGGCTGTTTTAGATCCTAGGATAATAGTAATAGTCTATTATACTATTTAGGATACTTATTCTTATTTTAGTAATCTAGTTTAATTTTCTTAATATATCTCTTCTTCTATAGCTAATAACCTAATAGTAAAGGAGGATAAAGAAATATATAAGAATAGGGTAAAGATATAACTAAAAGGGGTTTTTTTTATTTTTAACTAATTAGATAGAGAAATTTAAATAGATAATATAATTTAATTTAAGTTATTTTATAGTATTAGTATAGAAATAGCTAAAAAGGTAAATCATAACCAACCTATAGCTAAGTTCTTAGGCTTTTATTCTCTCTAAAACTTCTTAATTAATATATCTATAGATATATCTTCTTTATTATTAGTAATTTAGGCTAATTCTCTGTCTGAATTCCTAGGACTAAAAATAGCTCTTTTAGTCTAAAGATTATACTAACTAATTTATCCTATGATTAAGTATTTTGTTATAGAATAAATAGCTATTATTTTAATCTAATCTATCAGATTAAAGATTATCTTCTCTTGTCTGAGAAGATTTATAACCTAAACCTTATTATTAAGATCAATAGTTATAAGATAAGATAAAAGACTTAATTATTTCGGATTCTATGGATCTTTCATCCTATATTCTAAGACCTTTGGTCTTATATTTATCTGTTTAGTCTAATGTTCTACAAAACCTGATCTTACCCCTTAGTTAGTTGAGCATCGAATTCAATCTTTTTAGGATCAGTAGTATCTTTGTTTGATTCTTTCCTTCTATTCCATCCTAAGTTTTGGATCCAGCTTGGTCGTATGTTATTCCATCTGATCTGTGTTGTCTGATCTTTTGGTCTTATCTTTACCCTTTCCTCCTAAGTCCCCTGTAACTTGGTATCCCCTGTTCAGCTGACATCCTCTGCGTGACGTCATTACCTTTGGTCTGTCCCCGACACGCTGAAAATACTTATCCTAGGAAGCCCTATTTTAGCTAGGCCTGGAATATATGGTTTAGTCTAGTCTAATAGCTTATCTAGTAAGATCCTAGTTACTATATATTCTATATGTTCTTCTGGCTAGACTATTCTTACTGATTAATCTTCTTTTCTTACTATACTAAGAGTACTTATCCTAGGGAATTAATATTTTTTTATTATATTAATATAAATATTACTAATTTTATATATACTAGATATAGATAGAATGATTTATAAGATAGTCTTATACTATCTATAGAGAATAATAATAATTATATAGAGATACTTCTAGGTATATATTAGGATATTAGAGAATGATATAACTATCTATATCTCTAAGGGTATATTAAGGATAGCTATATATAGTAGATTAAGCCTATAATATGGACTAAAGATAATAAGGACTACTTTGGCTATATCTGGTCTAAGTAGAAGTATACTGTTGGAGATATATATCTTAGTCTATCTAACCTACTATATGGTTTTACTAGTCCTGCTATCTTATATTGTCTTAATATCCTATTTTAGTTTATAAGTATTGGTAAAGACTACCAGATACTAGATATTGCTGAATCAGGAATATAGGATGATCTATCTTACTGTTACTGTTGTTTTTACTCTGGCACTAAGACCCGTTTAGGGTTATCTAATAGTACTTTTAGAGGGTGTATAGATTATATTTTCCTAGTAACTATATACCTTAGGCGTCTAGGTGTGATTTTAGATATACTAGTTAGGTAGATATGCTGGGATAAGGTAGATATATGAGAAGAGCTTGATGTGTTGTTTGGAGATGATGATGTAGCTGCTTGGGATTTAATATAGATATGGCGGAAGTGTGCTTAGTAGTTATATGTTACTGGCTTTGAAAAGCTAGTTATAGCTGAATATGCTGTATTTGGGGCTAACTCCTGCCTTTAATGGACCTAGCTTGGCCTAGATGTTACCCCTGTGTTTATTAAAGAGGGTGATTATTAGTCTGGGTTTTAGTATAAGATTAAGGGTAAGTATAAGTATGGTAGTAATAATGGTGGTAATAGTGATGGTGATGGTAATGGTAAGAGTAATGGTAATGGTAATGATAATAATAATAATGATAATAATGATAATAGTAATGGTGATGGTAGTGGTGATAGTGATAGTGATAGTAATGGTGGTAATAATAGTATTTAGATGCTATAGAGATAAGTTTTGTGCATAAAAGCCTATTAGTGTGGCTTTCAGTGGGAGGTGGCTAGCCTTTCTATAGACTTTATTAGACTATATTTTATACACAAAAGCCTATCTTAGTTTATATACTTTGGAAGACAAACAGGTTAGAACAGGAAGACAGACAGGATGGTAGGATATAACAGACAGAATGGATAAAATAGAAGAAAGAATTAGATAGTAACAGAGTAGATGAAGTGGATTAAGTTAAGAGTGGATTGAATTAGTTAAGGCCCTAGCATCCAAAAGCCTAAAGGCCGTAAGGGAAATACCCAAAAATACAACACTAAAATGCATAATTTATATAGTAGCAAAGTCTAGGCATGTTTGCTCTGTTTGTGACCTAAATGGGTACCCATGGGTTGGGTTGGGTCCAAGGGAAAAACCCAAAACCCAGGCCTGGGTCTAAGATTTGGACCCAAACCCAACCCAATGGTGGGTCGGGTCAGGTTGGGTCTTGGGTCGGTTAGGTTTTGGAGAAGTCTAAGCAGGCTTAATCAGATAAGTATATCTGCTATCTTGTATCTTTATGGTTAAACGCTTCTAATAGATTTTAGGGTTTTATTTAATAAGAAAGTCTTTTCCTAGGATAAATATATAATCTAGTAAATCGAGTATCTATATAAATATAGTTCTATACCAGGTTCCTATAGATACTAGGAGATTTATATATATATTTATATCTATATAGGAGCTATTGGTAACCTATACTTTTAATCTACACTTTTTCTTTCTATATATCTACTGAGATCTTAGGAGGTAAAAGTGCATGTTTGATTAAGTATAGAATAACAGTAGTTTATATACAATCAAACA